CTTGTGGGAACACCTGCTCAATGTCGAAGAATTTTGACAGTTCTCCGTCTAACATGACCGCGCTTTTCGTACACTCTGTCATCTTCAGCACTCTCCACATTTTCCCCTTGACCCCGAATTTGGACAGTTGTTTCCACAACCCTTATCTCCACACGGTGTCGCATGTCTTTTTCACGTCCAGGAAGAAGCAGTACGTCGGCTGTCCCGCCCTCTTTCTACCTTGGATGATTCTCCCTACCGTGAACACGTGGTCTACGCACCCCCTCTTCTTGCGGAAACCTGCCTGGCCCTCACTAATGCTATGTTCCTTCTCCAATACTCCCACTATCCTATCGTTCAGCAGCTTACAGAACACTTTTCCTACTGTGTTCAACAGTGTGATCCCCCTGTAGTTTCCTGGGTCAGTCTTGTCTCCTTTCTTAAACAAGTTCACAACCACTCCTTCCCTCCATCTACTTGGCGTATACTCGTTTTTCCACACCCAATTGTATAGCAGTACGGGGGGGGTAATCAAATTCGATGGCAGGTGTTGACTTTCTTAGCAAGGGAAAAGGTTTAAATGGAATAAGTATTTGTGGTTGCGGAAGTCACGCACGGGAGGGACATTTGCTGAAAGGGAATTAGTCATGGCACGTGCGGCCGGGATCACTAGTTTGGCAAACTTTAGAGAAGGAGGGTGGTGGGTAACGCACGCTGCAGGACACCGCGCCGCATGAACCAAAATGGGGCAGAGCTATTGCTGCGTGAAACGTCGAAAGAAACGTAGATGTAGAGGCCGGGGCGGGATGGTGTGTGAAGGTGCTGTTTTCGTAGGTGCAGATTAAATAACATACTGCTGTACTACCTTTGAATCAACCAAGAGTACAACGGAACCATTTTCGCGTCCGTGCAGATACTTGGTACCTGGTACCTCGAGAGAAATACGGGTATGCATGCAAATGCTACAAGAAAAGGTTAAGGTTTTGCGTCTAAAACATACGGTACACATATGTGAAACAACTACGGGTATGCTGTACCACAACAAAATACCTTTTCCGGGCCGTCGTAGACCCCCCACCAGCAGCCGTGTCTACGAACGAGGACTAGGTTTTTGTCCCCTGCGAACCGCCAGTACTCGTTGCCAAAACGATCTCTGCCGAGGGGGCGGTTGCGGCAGTAGTCTCGTCGTGCGAAGCCAGCCTGCCACACACACAAAGGGGGTACAGCCCGACAAAAAATGGGGGTACACGAGCAACGCCTTCGTCGATTTTGAACGTCAACACAACCACGGCCGTCGGCACAGGACTTCCTTCCCTCCCACTCAAGAACAAAAAAACAAGGCAAAACCCCTCCCCAAGCGGTACACAAGCAACACAGGGAGCGTCTTCACGTTTTAGTTATGCCAGGTACTATATCAGGTGTCCCCTCTCCGATGCGAGTTGCGCTGCGACGGGTGTGCACCAGGTGCCGGTCGGTGCCTCCTTGGTACATTTGACACAAGCCTGCACATCCGCACCACTCCAACTGGTCTGTTTTTTTCATGTGCTCATGAACGCTTTGTTCTAATACAAACCACACCGCTGTTGATACTGCTGCTACTGCTGCTGCCTCGGCTACCAACAAATGAGTCCGCGGGTAAGAACATTGCAAACCAGAGAGCGTGCTCCAGTTCTTTCTCGCCCGGCCACAAAGACTTGAAGAAAATGAAAAATTTCGTTTGTTACCTGGTTCAGCGCGATTCCACGCTTTGCCGAATGCAACGAAACACACACACAGTCAGCCGCGTTTACGTACATACTGTACCTGCATTTTCTTTGCAAGCTCTTGCTCGTCGACGTCGCTGTCAACATCCGCCTCCACATCCCCCTCGCCGTTCGCCTCCGCCCCCGCCACGGCCGTCAGCGGCAACGCCGCGACCCCCGCCAACACGCCGGCCGCGCCGCCGGCCCTCGCCGTTGTCGCTGTCGGCTCCCCCTCAACAACTACAACCGTTCCCGCGGAAGCTTGTTGTTGTTGATCCCCCTGTCTTGTCCCTCCCGGCACGTTGTTGTTGGCCGCTGGTGCCCCTGCCTGTTGGCCACCCGCTGCGGGGGCCGGGGCGGGGGCGGGAACGGGCGCGGGGGCTGGGGGTCCCGCGGGAACGGCGGCGAGAGCGGCCACGGCCGTCGCCTGCGCCTGCTGCAGCTGCTGCTTCTGGGCCTGCTGCTGCTGGTGGAGCTGCTGTCGGTTGAGGTGCTCCTGCTGCACCTGTCGCTGGTGGAGCTGGTGCATTCGCTGCGCGTGCTGCTGCTGCAGCTGTTGCTGGTGCGCCTGCAGGGGGGGATTTGGGGGAAGAAACAAAACGCGGGTTGCACGTTCAAAATGCGGCTACATCTACACGTGTGTATGCAGGTTTATTTGCGCTTTCGTCCCATCTACTTTGCGTGCCAGTCTACACCTCACGGTATATGTTCAACAGACCAGCCGACGCCCCCTTAGCATCCCAGGGATTTGTGGGATGCTGAAACAAAGAACGAAACTGACCCAATTATCGACTGGGCCGGTCTGTGGAGGATACTCAAATGCCGACGGTAGTTCCGAAACCAACTCTCCGGTTTGGGCACCGAACACGGAACAGTCGGAAAAAACGCGACAACAACAGAACCACACGCTCCTCGAGGGGAGAGACCCCACGTTGGGGCAAGCAAAGCGACCCTAACCTGCTGCTGCTGCGCAGGTTGCAGACTGATGTGCTGCTGCAGCTGCTGTAGCTGCTGCATGTGTAGCTCCTGCAGCTGGGTTCGCTGTAGCTGCTGCTGCTGGAGGTTGTTCTGGTGGTGGTTTTGCATCTGCTGCTGGTGCTGGGCTTGAACCTGCCGACGGCGGGGGGTGAAAACAAGGAAGGCGCGCAGGACATGCCAATATGACACAAGATAACACACCCCCTTGACTGATTTTCAGAGCTCGATTTCTCATCAACAGGAAGAGTCACAGCAAGGTATATGACACAAGATAACACACCCCCTTGACTGATTTTCAGAGCTCGATTTCTCATCAACAGGAAGAGTCACAGCAAGGTATATGACACAAGATAACACACCCCCTTGACTGATTTTCAGAGCTCGATTTCTCATCAACAGGAAGAGTCACAGCAAGGTATATGACACAAGATAACACACCCCCTTGACTGATTTTCAGAGCTCGATTTCTCAACAGCAGGAAGAGTCAGCGCCGAAAACGACGGCGTTGGAACCTGTCTCGTCGAGAGGTGTTAGAAAGTGTATCATTTTGTTTATGCATCCTGTTCGTCGTGGAGAAACGGTCCAGGGGATGTGTTATCTTGTGTCACATACGGTAGGAGACACAACACCCCCAGACGGAAAGAACAAAACGAACATTGGCCGTCAGTTCAACGTGACTCCTCAAGCACGCGAATGATTTCGATTCGCCGCGTTGGCATGAATCACATCACTCGGGGCCAGGCCCTCAGCGAGGAAAAAATTCACCCCCCTTGGGGCAGCAGAAAATCAAACGTTGTCTTTGGGGTTGTTTCTAGAAGGAGCTCTCTGGTATTGCGTACACATTTAGCCACTTGCGTCCAAACCTTCCGAGAAGCTTGAGGCGAGGAATTCGGACCGATACGGGTCATTTGAATGCACCTACAGCACTTCGACGGCTCTACATATACACACAGATAATAAAAAAACAAGAAAAAACTAGAATTTTTTGTTTTTACGTAATACACAACGAACTAGAGACCATACGAGTACATTTACAGCAGTGACCAAAAGCGACAAACCAGGTACCATGAGTGACAGCCCTAGAGGCTGGTTCGGCCCCAGCACCCCATACCTGTTGGTTCTGAAGCTGGTGCTGCTGTTGCAGCTGCTTCAGCTTCTGCTGCTTGAGCTGCTCCTGCTGCTGCTGCTGCAACTGCTGCTGCCGCAGCTGCTGCTGCTGCTGCTGCTGCTGCTGCTGCTGCGCGTGCTCGGCGGCGGCGGCTGCCCCCCACTGTCCGCCGCCGCCGCCGCCGCTCAAGTGCGGGTGCTGCTGCTGCGGAAGCTGCCGACCGTACTGGTCGTATCGCGGCGGGGTGATGAAGCTCGGGTAGGCGTACATCCTCTCTTCGCGCCGTCTCGTCCTCCGTTCCTGCGGCGTGACGGCAGCGGGACAAACCGTTCGCCGCATCAACCGGTCGTTGTCGCCGCGGTGGCGGCGTGGGTAAAAACACAGACGTAGCAGGCCGGTCAATACACGCTACGGGCGGGGCAAGGGTGAACGAAAGGGATTGACACATACCACACGGCAGCGTGGTAGTTTTTCTCAAGGGAGAGAAGGCATTTCAGGGCGCAGGAGCTTCGACAACGAGGACGGGGCAAGTACTGAGTACCGACGTCTCCGCAAATCCTGCTGTACAGAGGGCAGCGGGGGGTGTGAGAAACACCCGCATGTTGGCATACGTACACACCCAAAACGGCAACACAAACCACAAAACGAAAAACCAAAAAGCACGCCCGAACGCACGCACCTCACGGAGCGCCAAGTACCGCGCCCGCCATAGCTTCTTGACGCACCCAGCGTGCGCCGCGATGCGAGCCTCAAACGGGTTCCCCTCCCTTCGGTTGGCCTGGGAAGCGTAGCAAGCCTCGGGCGAAGACGACGCAGGTGCCGCCCCAGCCCCCGCCCCCTCCTCCCCCTCGGTCGGTGCAACTCCCGTCCCTCCATCCGCCGTCGCCGCGGCGGCGGCGGCCGTTTCGTCTTGTTTGGCGTCGTCGACGTCCCGACCGGAAGCATTGTCGGAGTCGGAGTCGGAACCGGAATCCTCGGAATCGCTGCTGCTGCTGCTGCTGCTGCTCAACGACGACTCGTCTCCCGCGAGGTCCCGGGGGGTACGATACAGCCGCCTCAACCAGCTCGGCGAGAGCGCCGACGACAAGGTCGCGGCTCCTTGTGTACGAGAGAAAAAAAAAAAAAAAACAGCATG